GCATACTCTCATCATCATGCATACACCCGCTGTCGCCACAGCTCCCACGCTGTCGCCACAGCCTTCCAGCGGCCGGCCTCTCTACCTAGGCCCCGGTATTAAACCAGCGCAAAGTATCCTCACTGCACATGAAGCATCATCAGCACACCAAGTCACAATGTCGCCGGTGCCAGGTAAGCAGCGATCACAACCAGCTCCGATACCAAATTGCAAGGAATATGAGTGTGAGCGATATACATAAAACCAAGTTGAAAAATCACACAGCTGAGCAAGTAGTAGTATCACAAGTAGAGAGTACAAATGCACCGAGAAAACCATCCATAAAGATCAATACAATGAAGTATCGAGCCAATGTCCAAGCCCGTAGGCCACACCAACACAGTATCCAGAGTCGCTCTCTCTGTCTGGCGCACAGCGCCCAGCCCACTCTACCACACTATCCTACTCTACAGCTGGTTCACACAACAGGATCACTTCGGCTCACGAAGACCAATGTACATGACTGTCCACACCATCGGCGACCTCTCTTCATGTACCAGGTAGGTATTCTCGTCACCCTCAATCAGACCTTGATTATCCCATACAGCGCCTCACTCCCTGAAGACCACCCGATCATCCGCTGTACCCCCTGGCGCCCAGCAGCCCGGCTATGGCTGCCTGCGCCCTGCTGCCCTGCAGCGCCCCACCTCACCTCTCGCGCCCCGTCAGCGCCCTTGGCATCAGCGCGGCATCAAGCGAGAGCGCAGCAGCACTTCCGCATAGCTATCGCTGGCCAGAATACCTGGCCTGGGCTGCCTCACTTCCTTTATGGAAGTGGCAGCCTGCTGGATGCTGCGTGTGGCCTGGCTGGAAGCTTCCAGTAGCTTCCGGTTGGGCCTCAGACCCTGTGCCCAGGCCGAGACTTACAGTTGAGGGCCTGGGCCCTTTACAGTTGGGCGCGGCCTGAGTCTCCGGACTTGGGCTGTTAGCTGCATCTGCGCAGGGCCCCCAGGTAGATGCGTCGGCTGTACTGCTTTTCCAAAGGCCGACGGCCTGCTTCTCAATGTATCGGCCCTGCTTTGTGTGTAGGTGCCCAGGCACCACTTTCGTGGCCTGGGCCAACTGTACGATGCAGCTTAGTGAGGCTCGCACGTTCACTCAACCAACTGACACGCTGCAAGAGCCTGAATACCCACATATGGAAATCTCGAATTTTGGCCTGTGACGCATATTCAGGCCCGCCTTCACTTAGGGCGGGCACTTAGCTTGCTGGGGCCTTAGCCCAGAACATGTGATGTCTGATAGGGCCCCTTGAGGGCTCGTTCCTCACAGTGGAGATTGGAAGTCCAAAATTACCATTACTTATCATCGGATGATATATATCTTCAGCTTATCCAATGATCAAATGGAGGAAGGACAGATTTTTCATTTGAACCTTGAAACCACCACGGTCCACCAGTACTTTTCGGCGGAAAGTGTCCATTTTCAAAATAGCCTGGGCATGTACGCTCTGTGTACAACATCTCAGACGTCAGTGGCATGCAATGAGCAATTGATGGAAAAGGATGAATGTATTCGACAAATGGGATCAGGGCTGGAGCTTGGATGGGGATGGATAGATGGCGGAAGAGATCTGGACTGTTCTCTAGACTGTTATAAGATTGCCACACATGAGAGAGGAAAATGGCATGACCTAAGCAGTGATTGCAGTAGGGTGCTTTTTGTCTTTTTTGGGGAAATGATTAGCTGGAGGGTGCTATAGGTTCGCTATTCTGATTTCCCTCCTTTTTGGCGAAACTGTGAGTCCATCAGGCCTTGTCAGAGTGTCTTTTGGAACAAGTATTCAGCGGGTTCTACAAGAAACAGGCTGTTATTGAGCCTGGTTTGTCTCCCCCAAGCACAATCTTCTCTCTCTCTCTCTCTCTCTCTCTCTCTCTCTCTCTCTCTCTCTCTCTCTCCTGTCTGCGCTTACATCTGTGTGTGTGTGAGAGAGAAAAAGGGAGAGAGACAGACAGACAGACACAGAGAGAGGGGGACAGACAGACACAGAGAGAGAGACAGATAGACCCACCCACCCACCCATGGAGGGACGGACAGATCGACAGACAGATGGACGCACAAACAGAGGGAGGGAGCGAGGGATGCAGGGAGGGATAGGAAGGGACAAAGGGAGGAACGGATGGATGGAGGGATGGACAGACAGATGAACAGATGGACAGAGCGACTGACCGATCGACGACCAGTCAACTGACCAGTCGAGGGATGCAGGGAGGGATAAACTCAAGGAAGGGACGAAGGGAGGAACGGATGGATGGAGGGACAGACAGACGGACGAGGAGATGGGCAGACCGACTGACCGGTCAACTGACCAATCGACCAAACGGCGGACTGATGGACAGATGGATGGATGGGCAGAAGAAGAGGGGGGGGAGGGGGGGGGAGG